GAGCACTTCAGCTTGCCCCTCTGACCCCATTTTGCTGGCATATGCACAACTAGAATGTAACCAAGGCACCGGTCAAACCAAATGATAACTGACACTTCTCCCATGGGCAAAATTCCAGCATGGGGTTGTGAAAATATAGCAACTTACTGGGCTGGAGCTATGTCACTACCTTCAGCAGGTGAGGTCATGACCTCTTTTAGAGCATCACTCCAGTTTAAAAGCAGCACCTCTCTCTCTGGATGTGCTCTAAAGGTATGTCTGGAGCACACCCCATGTTGGAGTCACTCTTGAATACATCCTCTACACCCACTCTCACCTTGCCAGCACCAAATCTAGAATCACAGTGGTGAAGCTGCTGTAGGAGCATGGCTGTTGTCCATGGCTGGAGGTAGAGGTCTCAAGAGCAGCCATGGGAGAGGACCCTGGAGCAGGTTCACCACTACAGTTCGCGTTTAGCACATGCAAGTAGGAGCTATTGGAGGCATGCTGAGGAAAAACCCTCCACCGGAGTACTGGAGACACAGTGTAGACATACCCCCAGATGGTGAGGACCAAACTTTTTGGCAGTCATGCCATAAATTAGCTCTGAGTCCTCCCCAAGTGTCACACCAATCCTTTTCCCTTCACAATCTGCTGCTCTTTCTGCTCCTAGCTCTGTGCTCTGTGTCTGATCTACAGCTCTGCTTTCTTCTTCCTTCTCCATGTTCCCTGCCTGATTTGCTGCTTTGCTTTCTCCTTCCCACTCTAACTGCCTTTGTGCTGCCTGCCCCTTTCCTGATCTGCTGCGTGCTACACGCAGAGGCTGCCAAATTGGCCATCCCTGCCCTAAGACATTCTGGCTTAATATAAAGCTGGGTTAAGGCAGTCACAACTTCCCAACATTCCTCTTCCCTTTTCCATAGCGGGGAATGAAGCTAAAGATATAAACCTTCCAGCCATGATTTGTACCCACTAACTTCTATGCTCAGGGTGTTGGCCCACAGAGCCTGGTGTACATCAACACAGTGAACCAAGCCCTTCTCATGTCCTTAACCCCTGCATTGCTCAACACTGACTTCAACATTGAACAAGGTCCAAAAATTGGACACACAGCTGGCCCATGCTAACAGCATGAAAGAACATTCTTGCCCATGCCAGTCACTCCTTCCTAAAGGCATGATGTAACCAGTCACCCACCAGGGCCAAAGCAGGGGAAGTAAAGAAATGAGGGTAGATGTATGAGCCAAATTCTCACCATGTCATGTTCCTGAACCCTCAAGAAAGCAGAGAAACCTAGTTAGCTGGATAGTTGTGGGCACCATACAGGACATAAACTGATCATCAATGGTTGGATGATGAATGCATTAAAAAAATTAAAGAAACATTTTCCAGAGATTTTCCACGTCTGTTCCTCATCCAAGATAATGTCCAAGTATGTCATCATCTATAACATGTTTCTCCATTGAGAAGCACAGGGTCACATCTTTATTTGGGGTAAAATCAAGATTATTTCAGTAGAACTGTACAAACTTATACCACTTCAGGACCTGGCTTCCCATTTTCAAGTTAATTGAAATACACAGAATGACTCAGAATATTGTAAATACATTGAACCTCTTTTCCCATACGGTGTATTGCATAGTAGGCTAATTTGCAGTATTCTGCCTCTTTGTACACCTCATTTCTGTATGTAACTGTATCTGTCTGGCATTTTTAGCAGCAGATCACAAAGCAGCTTGCAGAAGATGTCAGTATTATAAATCCCCATGTTATGGAATCATTATCATGGTCTTGGACCTCACTCTCAAACCTGATTCACCCTGTTCCACACAGTCATATTTTGGGAGAAAAGGCTCTCAAAGTTAGGGCATCAATTGGAGATCACTGGACTATTACAACCAGGTAAAGATCTGTACTGTGCACCCCCTATATCACTGGCCATTGTTTACTACCAGGCGTTGGAACCTCCGATCCTCCAACGTACCTTTCCAAAAGTGGAGAGTCTCCTGTTTACAAAGCAAGCCAGTTTTTATCCTAGCGCTCACAATCACACTCTTGTGTTAACAACCCACACCAAAAATAGCTATCA